CTTACGGTAAAAATAAGTTCATCGGTTTCACTGTAGGCTACACATAAACGACCTCCCTGGCTTAACGGACTGACAACCTCCTTGATCCTACCCCTTCCCCTTCGTATCCACCCAGGTCCTTTGCTTGTGAATTTCGAATGAGGCGACAGTTAGAAATCATTTTCACGGCAAGGTGATTAATCCGATTTCAGAAAATCTGGTATGATTTTAGTGTTTTTCGCAATACTACAGCATAAAATGGTCAGTTATTATATAATAACAGAGAGGCAAAATATTCATTTGGTTATCAAAAAACGATAAAGATCCCAAAGTAAAGGATAATCAGATAAGCGCAAAGAGAACTAGTATAGTATAAAATACGTGGAGCGATTTTAGATTTGCTACCTGACTAGGAGCACATACAAAAAGACCACACTACCATATCCATTCCAATATCTAGCATAAACTTGGGTTATGCTATTTGGTTTAAAATTACTGCGGGAGTTTCACGGATTCTCGAATTTCTACCTTTTTCTCGCAAATTCTACTGCATCCTTATAGGGGAAGTAAGAAGTTTCTTACGAAAACCCTTGACTGCACGCCTTTTCCTACTTGATCATATCAAAATTGAAAAGTATAAAAATCAAAGTTTACATTGAAAAAAGGTCCTCAAAAGAATGAAGTGAAACAATGTAAAATGGTAAAATGGAGCGACCTGTTTCATATTCTTCGTAGACATTGCTTCACTGGTGATAGTGCGCATTCTCTTCCATCGTTCCCCTCTGGAGGCAAACATGTGCACATGCTCATCCGAAACCGGGTCGGGGTCCAGTGGATTCGGCTGAATGTAGCGAAATCACTAGAGGATATTCATCGTCTCCACAAATTCATGCTCATTACCACTCGTATCAGTTTGGAAAGACCCAAACAAAAAGTTAAGAAACTACGGAAACGGACGAGTGCCTTACAATCTTTGCATGGAAGCTGTCATAGTGCTTCTGTGCGATTCCTTGGACAACATCAACATCGCTGCATACAACTGTGGGAAGCCCACCCTGCATGGCTCCATATACGGGACCATAACTTTGTGCAATTTCACCGAATGTGGAATGTGCAGAAGGAGAAAGAAAAACATCAATATTTTCCCCAATCCAATGACGTGAAGGTAGAACAGGAAAGCCACAGTTTAGCAATGAAGTATGACCGGAACGACGCCTAAAAAATGAAAAACATCTCAAAGTCAAATAGAAGCCAAAAATTTGGGGCTTCATGCTAAAATTGCTACTCTTTACAATTACATAGATGACAAAATACAAAAACTTATCTGCAAAAAATGAAAATAATAAGGCCAACCGCTATGATCAGAGCGATCATAACTCATTTGAGTCTATGCGTACTTTTTGGAAGAAACTGGTATGAATGATTGTCGGTCGGGGCACTACCAGAGCAAAGAGGCGCCGCCAGTAGCACTGTGATAAACACGTCTGACTATTTGGTGATAACTACTGCTTGGTAGCAGAGATAGAGATAAAAGAGGAGGAGAGGAATTTCTGCCATCCATTTCGGATTCTCGCTGTTAGGTATCCCTGATGTATATTCCCTGATACTGGCTTATTGGCTATCGCTTCTGAGGGTTTCTAATGAAGGGGGATTCTCAATAGTCTCGAATCAGGAGAATAGATTTTGGGAGAACAAGCATGAGTGCTGTTCTTTCATTATCATTTTACGACTTTTTCAGTGCCCAAATCACTGAAAAAGTCGTAAAATTTAGACCAGGAAGCTGAATTAGAGGCCGGCCGCTGTCATTAGGCGTCACCCCTTTTGCTTGCCCAAATCGAACGGATAGCTTTTGAAAATGATCACTCACGGAAGTACTTTAGGCGTCAATTTTTACAAATTTTGGTAGTGAGATGATCCATGGCTCCCACCTCCACTCCTACACCTCTGACTGGTTCACTTTTGAATAGCAAGAGAGTTGAGTCCCGGTTGACCATTCGAGTGTGTTGCCTTATACCTTCGAATAACTTGTGGATGTAGCCCTTGGTTAGGGTTCTGTTCAGTTTTTCTCACAGCGGTCAAATGTTGCTGGCCCAAGTAATTTGTTGGACCTCAATTTGGGATTTTTTGCCGGCTAACTTTTTAGTAATCAGTGATTGTTGTTGTTATTTTCGTTAACAATTGTTGTTGTACATCTGAGGAAAGGGTTCCCATTCAAAACACTCTGAAGGTCTACGATAAGAAAATTGTTGGTCAGGTTGTTTCGTACAGCTGTTTACTAAAGCTTTCTGGATTGGGCCGAAGCGCAGGATAAAATTTTGGCTGAGATAGCTCAGGTTTGGGTTACAGAATAAATATTGCCCTTTATGAACACACGAAATAATATTTCCCATACATGACAAAAATTGATGGAAATTGTCGCATGTTACATCATCAAAACGCGCTCTATCTAAATTAGTGCCAAGGTTATCATAGCCTTATCTCAGTCCGATTGCATTAGTCGAAGCAAGTTTGACCTCGTGAAAGCCCGATACATGGCGCATCTTGGGATGATTAATGAACGAACAAGTACCCAAGACTTTTATGTCCATCACATCTTTATAAAAGGCTATCTCAACATTTCATGAAGGTGTGATGGTCACAACAATCTTGCACAGATTAGTATGCTTTTCTTAGCTACAAGAGTAGAGGTCGCTTCCCATACCTTAGAAACGTTATCATATGGAATAGTGCAATGCTCTCAGTCTGGGTCAATATTCCAGAAATATTCGAAACAAATGTTCCCTCCGAACTAGTTAGTACCGACAATTTCATTCAAGGACTCTGTCTCCACTTTGCTTTTGTAGTTAAAGTCAGTACTTCCTGTCTTATCAGCACGTCTGCCCATATCAAGTGCATTTAAAAATCAAACTCTTGCCAGTTTCATTTAGAAAGTAATCTAATAGCTGCATCACGAATCAAAGAATTCAGCATCTGCGAACTATACCACAAAAATGATAGTCATACCACTTTTCTGAACCATGAGTTTCTAAACGGTAGCACCAGATTTTGGAGTCACTAAAATGGCTTATTCTTGGAGCACATAATCCTTATTTCTTATCCACTCATGAGTATGCATTTCTAGAGCAAGAGACCTTTCAACCCTTAGACTTGACCTATGAAAGCCTTGCAAAAGTTGGTAACGCTTGTTATTTCAACTAAGACTGTTACTAAACTTCTGGGAATAGAGCCAGAGTTAAGCATAGCACCGCAGAAAGTGAGCCCTTCCACACGACAACCTTAAAAGCTTTTCAATAAAAGTCCAATCGCTAACGGGGAAAGGGAGGGAGGGGCAGGAGGGAGGAATCTTAACCCTTATAAACTTACTGAAATGTCCCAAATTATGGCTCAATACCCTTTATTTACTTTTTTGCCGTTACGACTCTCGCCCGTTCACTTGAACAGGTGCGATTTTAGGGAAGCACAACATACGACACAAGTCCTTGCTACGAAAATCATACACTGCTGTTCAAACTAAGATCCGCTCTAACCTTTAAAAAAACTCTGGCAGCAACGCTACTGTGAACGCATAGACTAACGACGATATACCGCTATCGGCAGTTGATCCTCATGCCTAGAACTATTGGAGACGATGAAAATGACCTCTCAATCTCCGCCTACTTCATTTGGCATTTGCTTTGAATGATCGACGAGCACCTTAAAACGACACTTCGATAATGGAAGTCAACACTAATGTCAAGACCGTCACATTTTCAACCTGCACTTTCTTCCCTCTCCACCCCTGGAAATTAAGGGATATCGCAAATCCCTTTCGAGCTGAACCAAAATCCGCCCTCTTCGTAACAAATTAAAATTGAATTGGCATCCCATTTAAAACCAGTTATGTCACATTCACCTGCAGCATTAAATATCCAAACTGTAGCGTCATGCTGATGTTGGTCGATTCCTTAGGATTACGCCCTGTGGCCGACTTCTGTTGAAATTAGGCGAGCTTGATATGGATGGCTTATAAGCCACCATCTTTGGGATCACTCACGGCGAACCACAGTGAGGGCATCGCATATTTAGGGTTGCCGATGAAATGTGGAGACACGCTGCCACCAACTTCACGACCTTACATCAGTTCCTTACTGATCAGACAAGACTTACTGTTTTCCGCTGACAGGAAAGAGTGCCCCTCCTCATCAGTATGAAAAATGCAATTCGAGCGCAGCGTAGAAGGTCCGACGGCTGTTCCTGATACAATTACAAATAGTGACGTGCATCACCGATCTCCTACAGAATTCCTCTTCATGGTCCATTCTCAAATCAATGTTAGCATAACACCACATTTCGGCCATTAGCTGTTTCAAGGGTTTCAATTCCTGACAACTCCGATCACCGATCTGTGGCATCGAGAAGAGTACAAGAGAAATATGAAGCCCATGTCGCCCTTCTCATGTGTAACTGCCTGTCCTTTTTTGGCTGCTTGTTTTTTGCCTGCTTTCCCTTTCTCGTCCAAGTCATTCACCGTGAATATTTATTAAATGAATTATACTGCTTTCACCATGATTCAGGACAAACCTTGAGTAATGCTAATATTACAAAATTACAAATATTCCAATATGTTCATAGATGGAACGGATTCGTGACATCTAACCTTAGTTATTCCCCATGTATAACAATGCTGATACTTACCCTATCGAGATGAGTTAGATATATGCAGCACCAAATTTTATAGGCTGATGAAACGCTAACAATGAAACTTTCACAACGATACGTTATTTTTACACCGAGTTATGTTTTACGCCGATTAATTATGTTACAATAGCCCCACTTTTAAGCATTACATTATGTACTTGTCGCATGTGCACCTCCACATGATCTTGGAAACAGTTGTAGTTCTTTGGTGAGATCTGAAATTACCAGTCAGTAAACAAACGAACATAAATAATCAATTCTATTCACAGCAGCTCCAGTCATGCATTGCATTACCGTACATGTGCACTTTTTTAGCCGTAGCCACCACAGCTTTGGAAACTCGGTCAACCAGTGTAAAACAGATTGTAAGATTCAGAAGAACTAACCATCTGATGGATTTCGTTGATGGAGTCGTTCAAAGCGGTGAGATCCACTGGTGTCATTTTTTGTTGTCCCAGCGAACGAATCTTAAAAATGGCATTAGCTCACATATCCAACTACCACAACAAAGGGAGTGTGGAAAATCACCTAAAAGCCGACCAGTTCTCATACCTTCATTATTTTCGAAGGCAAAACCCTCGGGCATGGTAACCGAGATCAAATGGCCAGTATGGACGCGATTCAATTTATAGAAGGACAATGCTGGACCATCCAACAGTCATGCTCGCTTATAGATGTCAGGAGAGAAAAAATTGAGTCCTCGGTGTTCTTATTCAAAAATCTTGACATCGTTCGTTGCTGTGGCGTTTTCTTACTTTCTACATAAGGATGTGGGATGGGACAATTACTTAGGCTGTATGCATTTAGGAAATGGCTTGTACCTTGCCTAGCCAGCAAGCCATCAAAGGCCCAAAACACATTCCCACTGGTGCTTTTAACGGAGGTTGAAGGTGTTTGCGCATTCCAAAAAGCCAGCTAGACCATAGCCACAAAACTGTCTTCTTCTACAACACAGAAATACATTTGACTCTTTATACTTACCTGGAGTAAAAGCGAGGTTAATGCTGTGATGAGACGTAGAGCTTGAGTATTAGTAACGTTCAAACCCTGGTTACAATGCTTCACTATTTGATTAGCGTGAGAAGTGCACATCCGCCGTAGTGCTTCGGGGCGAGCACTTATACTGACCTGGAAACTGACCATTTTGTGTCCAAGTCATGACATGAAAGAAAGTAGGCACTCACTTCACTGAGATGTGGAAGAAGTTGTGTGTTGTACTCCTGTATTCCATTCAGGTAAATGTTAACTTGCCGGTTCACTGTTTCTAAATCGACAACGGTTCGCGCGTACCGTTCCTGAAATAAGGGCATCAAAAAAGGATGACATTCAAGATTAGGGGGTTAGCTTCCAGTGTTGCAAGGGTTTATACAAGGGCTTGCAACACTGGAAGCATACTGCTAGCGCTAACGATCTCGTTTATCGTCCTGAAAGGGCTGGCGCTTGTATGTCTGTAAACACAGGTGCGCTTCTTGACCTGTAATCCATGACAACTTTTGCTCCACCAAGAGGTGTTACCCTCTCAAACCTGCAAAAGTTGATGGTCTCCGTAGAAACACGGTTCCGAGCTGATTCGGTTCATGTTATTTGCTTTTTCATGAAGAGCTGATACGAGTGACGGAAACCCTAATGAGCGCTGAAGTCGTAGGAGCCTCCAAAACCAGCAAAAGGACACTTTTTATGACTAAAATTTGAAAAATTTCCTGCAAAAATTGTGCCTAACATCAATGAACGACTACTGAGTTGGAACGAATGGTGTGTGAGCCAGTTCAATGTGCTGGGCTGGTTACCAATGTTTCACTATCTATGAGCATACACCTTTCCGATCTTACTTAACTTTAACAGATACTCAATTCAAACAGTACTGACTGTACACTTTGTTCAAATAAAACATTCGAAAACCGCATGAAAGCCAAACATTACGTACCTGGAACACAGGTGTATAAACATCGGTGAGTATGCTTTCTTTCTCTGCTTCGTTGTTCAGTTCGGTCAACGTTTTCACGAGCTTCTTTTTGATTTCCAATAGCTTGGCCACTTTTACCAAAATTACGAGCATCCGCACAGGAAAGTTGCCAACTTTCTCATCTGTAATCAAATTAAACAAATAACAACAAAACCTAGAAATAAGGAACACACGTCTTCATAGAAGATCAATAAACCCACGATTTACATCAGTCGACTTCTTCAGCTTTGTATGAAGCGGAACTGGAACTGAACTTTAATAATAACATCAGTAAACAGTTTTTCACTTAATAATTGCTCACCCGTACGGATTGAGTTTACAGTAACCGGTAACCGAGCGCTATTTTGTTGCAGAAAATAAGAAAGTGAAAGTAGTTCCAAGGATCCATCATACATTACCTCATAGTCTGGCACAAATGCTGGTGGAATCATATCTTCCTATAACAAACATATTATAAGATCAATGTTTACTCTTAACCTATGCCACATTTCAGACTTCTATCATTAGTTTTTCTACTTATTGTTTGAAAAAGAGTTCACCTGCCTGGAACTTATTTACAAATGTCTGTGCTGCTCTCTCGCTACTAAAAGGTATTCGAAATATTACTAATAACGATACGGAAGTCTAGCGTGATTTTTCCAAGAAAAGTAACTCACAAAAAAGTATGTTCTTTGTCACAGGAACGCAACAAACCTTGTCAAACACAATTCTGTATCCTCCTCCTCCAGAAACCAACGCATCAATCGTGCCACCGTAAATTCCATCTTTTGGAGCCCTCAGTCTTGCATAAACCTTAACATAGACGTTATTTCACATTTTGTGGCCCTCAATTAAGGGCAAGCATTATATGTTCCTGACTCGAAATAGCGGAGAAACCAAGTACAGAACATCATCTAAGATAGTGTGAGTACCATAGGATAGTTAGGTGAAGATAGTATTCGAGCTTGTACAATAGTATAGACTTGTGCTAAGGGCAACCCCAAAGCTAGCTACATATCCCACCTGCAGAGCTGATGATCTTCGAGAAATAAGAGTTGAACAGAGATTAGAAACTGCCAGGCGCTACTATTATGATGTCTTTTCAAGAAAGCACATTAGTCAGGCAGAAAATGTAGGCCAAATTCTGGAGAAAAACTATCAGGCGACTTCAGTTGAAGTATTACCTTCATGCCAACGACCAGAGGAGCAGGGAGATTAGGTGGCAGATCGCTCAAATCACAGTTAGCCGTCGATGTGAATGAACCGTCATATATAGCCCTCACTTTCCGTCTTCTTTGTTCCAGAATTTGTCGCTCTTCGTGGAAAAATATAGGTGAACAGCGGCGAGGTTTTCCTAAATGTGCTTTCAAAGATCAAGTGTGCCACGACTCTCTTTGAAAGTTGCAAGGGGACTAGCTCAAAAATAGAACAAACGATAAATGAAAAAAGAGGATTTAACCTTACCCAGGAGACGACGTATGACGCGCCATTCCATTTTGTTCATAAGCGTTGTTTTTAGGTTTGGGAAAGCTTCATGAATCAGTTGCACAAACTCGTTGTCGCCGAGGAAAAGTTGCTCGTCGACTCCAGAATAAAAAAACTCACATATTACCCATCGACGAGCCTGCAACAGGTCTACGGGAATAAAATGTATAGCTCTCGTCGTTTGAGTTATTTAGTGAAATCTTCATCAGCAAGCTTCCGATCACCGGACCTTCATCAAAAATTCTTCCCAGCAAATTCGGCTGACAGTTATTCACCATTTCACACCCTACTAGGAAATGATGTATTCCAGATAAAAAATCATTTAGATACTTGCAGCTCCGAAGTCTCTTCAATACACCAATGTGAATAGCGCGGTAACTTCCACAAAGTTCAGAGTTTCCGGTTCAACATTATATATTGCACGCTTTAAAAAACTGGAGCTTAGAACTGTGCGTTTAAATATTTTATCAACCCATACAATTCTAAGATTGGCATTTTTTGGTCTTGCTTTGGTATCAATACGCAAACTCGTCTCATATCAACATCTGATTCTTTTGACTAACCTTGGGAAGCTTCAGCAGATTTCGTATCCGACGTAAGCTTGACTGAAGTTCTGATCCGATCTCGTTCTGGGATTTATGGCTGAAAATCACGTATATAATTACTGAGGCTAATTATTAGGGCGAAGAAACTTAACTTCTTAAGGCTCATGGATAGTCTTCAACATTGATCATTCATTCCCCTTTTCGAGTTTCCGCACTTAACCTCCTTTCAAAATTATAGAGGTCTTTTGTATGTGTACTTGGCTGCACAGTGACTAGCGATAGCCATCCGATGTACAAATCAGTGTTTTATCCTCCCAGAGCTATGCGACCCCGGATGGATGAGAGGCTTTGACGAAATGGGCAGGCATTGATTCGGGATATGAACCCGCAACCATGCGTGCGTCATATTGCGCCACTTACCACTACACCACCTACGCCCGCCATATTACTACATATAAGCTAAATACGGCAGCAAAAAATGGCTTCAATGAATGAACGTTACGGTTAAGGAGGATGACCAGTGAGCACCAACTGCTCCTATAGACCTTCATTTCCATAACCACGTAAGCCTTTCTTGTGAGTTTTTCAGGAATGGGGGACCATCACAATGGCGACAGTTTTAGTATACATATAGCATGTTTGGAAGCAAAAGTAAGCATCTACACCTACCTATTGCCACTCCTATTCTTTGTCCTTCCACGTCGTTTTTAGTACCTTGGCAATGGAACAATCCCTTTCCATGCCGTTCAACGGAACATGCATACCGTAACTTTAGTTCCCCTTCTACATGAGCGTGATGGAAAATTCGAACGCAAACTACAGAGAGCCAACGACCCTTTCTGTCCATAAAACTTAGGCTAGGCCAAATAGGACTGAGTTAAGGAAATCACTAAGCAAAACAGTCAGCTCAAAAGCGGATGCTTTCTGTATACTCTCCTATTACACAGACGTTCTCAAACATCGCCTGAGCAATTCGTTTCCCGTTTTTCAACTTCCTGATGTAGTCAAAGTTTACTTGCTCAATGTGAAAAGTGACTCGAACCCTCAAATTTCTTCGCTTTACTTCGCTTAGCAAAGAAAATTCCAATTCTTTCCTCATGCACTAAGTAACGACCTCGGTAGGTTCCATCGCAGAGTGATGGGTGCGGCAAAGCCAGGCATATATTGCCACCCTATCATTTCGTTAAGACGGCCTGCTCTGTACTATCAGGATTCTGACCCTATCTTGACTAAGGTGAAACTCATGGAATTATCAAATATCCTTCATCAGTTCACGTAACTGAACATACTGGGCAAGCACCCTTAATCCACTTCCACACAAAGGTTTTCAGAACTAATAAGTGCGAATAAGCAGAGGGTCCCTTTTCCCCCTCCCCACAGGATGAAAAGTAAAATAATACCGTGCAATCCTTTTCAGAAGAGCATTTCTTGTTGCTTCTGATGCATCGTCGTCAAACGAAGAACGAGAAGATTCAGGTGTATTCGTGTATGATTCCTCCACTACTCGCGTAACCTTAAACTGAAAGATTAAGACAAAATTACAGCACGCCCTCTACAAGGCACATGTGAGGGATGTGGTGTTTGCGATAAAACTGGTAGTAGGTTTGACTACGGACAAAACCTCATTTTCCAACTTTCCTAGGACTGAGCGCATGCAGTAAAAATCTCAGAGCATGCGTCATATCGGCATTGGACCCCATAGAACAATAATTGAACACAATGGTGATCAACAATGATGGAAGACGGATGGAAGCTGTGGCAAAACAAGGAAATTTCAACACTATTGGAGGTCTGTCGATTCACATTACACTCGAGCAAACGAACACAGAAACTATATTAAATTACGACAGATATTCTCGATCGATTACTATTTAACGTCTGGTATAGAGGAACCGTAGTCTTATGCCTACTCCCTTGTTATCGACCTAATAATTAATTTGGATTCTAATGCACTTGAAGAAGTTTTCACAAACTAAGCATTCAGAATTTTACACTCTTAGTTGCGGTTATGATTTTCAGAATCGAAATTGCATTCACAGGAGGTATTTGAAGCTTTAAAAATTAAAGATTCGTTGAAAAACTCACGACTCTTGGATGCTGTTGATAAGCTGAATGGCGAGTCACAACGGTTGGAGCAGCGTAGGATCCCGAGTGCGTCTAAACAAAAAAAAGTTAAGGAAAGATTGCTGGATTAATGCTCACAATCCAACCTCATTAAGGTCTCCACGGATTTGAGCGAAGGAAGGAACATTCACTTCACCAGATTTCTCAAAGAGATCGGTATAAATGTTCAATAATTTATTAGAACAACTCGTTCAACATACCACAAGCGACATCGGTAATACTGGAGTTTTGCTGTCAATTTCATGCACTTCCATTTTTGGAAGGACCAGGTCTCCAGTTCTTCGAGAGGAAGCAGAGTTTGAGTGAGAGACATTTTCCTGCAGTGGACCGGGTGTATGAATAGCATGCTGTGACGGAGTTGTGGCGCCGGTGTTTAAAACACGCCGAGCTGATGAACCTGATGCGGACGGGTGCCTGAAATAGTGAAGAGGTTCTATTCCATTGTATAAAAATTGAATTCACTCGAATTTTTTAAATTGATATCTCGATTATACATTTTGTGACTACGACAATGGCAAGGTAAGAATTTACCTAGTCTGATCCAAAACGGATTATCATTGCTTCAGAGACGGTTTACGAAAAGAGATCTGCAACCAATTTTCGCCTCTTACTGCAGATATAACTGCATATACATGTACCGTCGGCTTTTTATTTCAGACTATGCCTATGAACTGCAGACTATAGGTGTAAAGAAATTATGCTCAAACGTCAAACCTTAGCAGATGTTCGAAGAGCTGGCAAAAAAAGAAGGTTAAAAGGGCCTAGATCAAATACTGGTAATGTCCTCTGACTATAAATGGTAAACTTGCATTAAGAACAAAAATTGACGCGATAAATGGAGCGCTAACTATAACAGCAATGTTGGTAGACTTCATTTTTATCTGAAGAGATCCTACAAAAGAAGCCCCCTCCCAACCATTCCTATACAATTTCTGGCACTATCAAATTGGGACTGAATAAAATCCGCATAATTTGTAACAAAATAAACAATTGTTTACTGATGTAAACCGTGAAAAAACAAAACTTTAACCAACACAGAGCTTTTTGTCGGTGTTCGAGGTTTTACTGGAGTTCGGGCTCTCAAAGGAGGTACGTCAATTTCCTCATCCCGATATCGTGATGGAAGTTTGGACGTATCACGCAATTTGTACGGAGACGATGCCTTGTCACGAGCCTTGAAAACAGAAATTTGCTCAAGAGAAAAACAAAAACAAGGAATTACAACTCCCTAAATAGATTCAATGACAAGGAACCATTAAATTATACTTCGGAAACGGATGAAGGGCCGCGCGCGGGAAAATTTCAAAACTTTAATATTAGTATTGGGGGAGAAGAGAGCTTGCAAAAGCAATTAAGTAATACGAAGTAGGTTGAGGATGATAAACAAGAAAGCCCTTACCTCGGTACTTGACATCGTTGCTACTTTCTTCCTTGCTGGGCTTTTAACGGGCGTTCGACCACTCATCCCCAGGGAATAACTCAGTGCTTTGCAATCTGAAACCGAATTCTTCACAAAACCCATCAGACATGATTTTGATTTAGAAAATCGAAAAAAAACTAAGAACCTACCCAACGAGTTTGTTTTATAATTCGCGGCAATCGATGTTGTGCATTGCGGACTTCACCCGCTCAATTTTTCCGCGTCAACACATCGCCAACAACCCCGGTGGCCAGTGTTCGTTAGTGAATGGTAATGTCCTTGTCCTTACTTACTTTCTGTACTCGCTAACCGTCCCAGGTTACTTCTCGTCCTGCGGTAATCTAATAAATAATAATGAGTAAATAAATAATAAATAAGTAATAACCTTTGTTCAGGTCAGATCCTCCGTTTTCGTTACTGCGGTACGACCGACGTGACCCTGTGGTCGTAAGGACCTTGATCGTTTGACATTTAAGGGCAATTTCTTTTTTCTTTCAAGGGAGTATTATCGTCGGAATAGTGATGGCTTCGAGGTTGGCATCTTCTCCCCGAACCGTGTGTCGCACTCGATCGCCTGCTATGAAAGGAAAGATTTGAATTCCCAATGGGAAGATACGGCATTCGCCGCGGAACCCCTGCCGCTGGCCGTGGGAATTCGGGGAGAAGTTCCGTCACCCATGGCTCCGTGGGGTATTCTGATTCATAGAGTCGATATGAGCCCAGCCGAGTCTGGCACATGGACAAGCCAGCTCCTTACTGTAGGCACAATTCACGATGAAAATGGTTACTGAAATTCTTCCTTGGACAAAACTGTGTCCTTCAAGGATACTACTGGAACACTGTCAGGCCGAAAAACGACCTGGACAGGGCGTAAAAAGGTTTCTAAAATCGGCTTGGCCGACGTAAACACCTAAAAGTGGTCGTGTCATGACAGCCCTGTTAAGTGCACCATTCACAATGGAGCTTTGGGACGCCAAGGAATAGTACGCAAATGTGGGAGGTACACAGACAGTGATGCTTATACGCAACCTGCGACAATACGCATCCTTTTTCTTTTTCGAGGAGACAGTTCCTATTTATACCGTCAGTACCATGAATGCGTCTATGGAAGGCAATTGCTGCCATTTTTGACCTCTGCAGCCAGCTCTTTGCGCTGGTGCGGCAACTGGCATCTCGTCCAGCATCCTTTCCACATCTACCGTCAAAATCTCGTACGACCTCATTTTTATAACTTTTTTGTATAGAAGTCTAGTCTTTTGGCCTTGTTTACTCCCGCCTGAGGGATGGTCCCTGCATTCGACTTCATTTCATAATCGTAGGGTCGTATTAAATGCGTACGTGGTCCATACAGTGACTTGCCTTGGCCACTAGATGTACATGTCGATTTTTTTTATTATTCCAGACGAGTCTGGTACCGATAAGTCGACTGCGGAAAGATGGAAGGCTCAATTCATTCAGGCGGATATCGATCCGGGTTCCGAAACATGCTCTAGCTAGAAGTAACTAGGTAGAGAAGTCAACATTATGAACGACTCGGCTGTGGAACAGGGCGGAATGAAACGCGCGGCGTTGGATGCATCTAAAAACATCGAGAGAGTAGTGAAGAAGACAAAGAACATCCGGTTCCATGCTCACCTTCTCGACACTGCACTTCTTCCTGCTTTGACGTACACCTCGTAACGTGGACTCTTCCGTAAGAGGATGAACATGTAGTCAGTGTCGACTTTGCGCTGTGGAAAGGTCGTCGCTCCCGATTTCTTAATTTAGTCGCAAGTGCAGATGGGAATCCGGAGTTCTAAGCTCCGACAACGACAAAAGATCAGAGATGCCGTGTCTTCATTGTGGAGACAATCTGACCAGTCGGTTATCGAGTGGATTCCTCGGAATGTCAAACGAACACCAGGATGGCGTCGCAGTGGCCAGATTCCTTTATGTAATCTCTAACGGCACTCAACTGCATACGAGTGCCAGACGGAGAACAAGCATGTCAGCACTTTATCTCCCGATATGAGTTTAGTAGCAATAAACCAGGTGCCAAATTATGAAAGGTTGGCGCAGACGAGCACTGAAAGAGAATTCCAAAAAGGCAGGGGGTTATGTTAAGTGGTACTTTACCGCACCATACCTCGAGTAATGAGCCCGACACCGCCTGCAATTCATGTAAGAACTTCATCTACTGTCGCCACTGGTCTGTAGAGTAAGATTGAGTGAGGGGGAGGGGAACGTTGATGACGCTTTTCTATGATTTCAACACCAAATGTAGATGGAAGAATTGAACGCCCTCAGAGAAAATTCTTGACTGGTAACCTGTGATATTCTTCGACCAAGCAAAAATCGACATGGACGATCCGATGGAACACTTCTCTAACTCCCTTTAGAAGCTCATAAAGACGTAGACATGCTGAATGAGATAGTGAAGTGATATTCCTGCCATGCAAACCTTGTTGTTAGGCCCTTAAAGTGATTCAGGCAGTGAATTAGTGAATATGAGAAACTGGATTTGATAAAGCTTGTTGATTGGCTCAGGAGAAGGGTTGGAGACCGACCAACTGAATGTGGATTCCAATCTACCTCACAAGAGCATTGTTTGCTTGTCTCAGTGAGGTAGATGAAAATTTGAATGCAATCGGTCTTTCTATAAAACTCGGATATGTTTATAGAAAGCTTACTCAGCCGGCATGCATCCGATAATAGCAGACTCATGTCAGACGTATAGCAAAAACTAACTAAAATTATCTTTGGAAAGGAACTTACTGCTCCTGAATTTTATGGACAGAAGACTCGAACTAAACAACATCATTTCACATTCACATGTGTATCGATAAATCGCTCTACGCGTCTTCAAATACAGCGTTCTTGATAATGGCGCTACCACTAAAGATGATCGCTAGCCCACAACGGGGTACATTTCCCGATCATCTCTGCTCTCGAGAAAGCAAGTCTCAATTCATACATCGTACTATAAGGATTGTACCCGCTCTCTCTATAAGATTCGAAGCCTTAAAGTGACCTCGGCCCAGGAAATTCTCTTTCTCAGAAGTAGTAACGGGCAAGTTTCTTGGTGTCGTGTTCTCTGTGATTCCTCGTAGTTTCCATAGTTAACGATTCATACGTATATACATACATATATTTAGTCCGCATGCACGACGGGGCAGAAGGGGTACATTTGCAGTAGCGTGAGGGAAGGCCCAGGTGCCACAATCCTTCTATGGCAGCACCCTCGACCCACACTCTCGCTTCCATCGCGATCGGAGAGGGGGTTAGTAGGAAGGACCGCCTTAACGCGTGGCAGGCAGCAACATCAGCGCCCTAAACGGAGACCCCACCGTTCGCGACAGTTGGTATAGTGTTCCCCACTTGTTGCCATTTTCCTTTTATTGCTTGGCGATAAGGCTCATCTATACTCCTTAATCGCATGGACTGAGGAAGCCCAACCGTAGCCCACCCTGCTGCTCGGTTTCGATCCTTCGCAGCTTCCTCATGTGCCCTGCACCACTGATCAAGGGAAACATTGCGTTCATGCTCTTTAACGAGTGGCAACCCTTCAATGAACTTCTGCAGGGTTCGAAAGGCCTTGTAATCGTTTAGCAGAGTGAATACTATGCTTGCAGTGGACATAGAAACGCTACATGCTTGATCGAAAGTTACTGTAGTATCAACTATCAATTCAACTTCGTTCATCTTAAGAACTGTGCTGGTTAGTACTTCAAATGTAGCAGCATGGTCGCGAAGGATAGCGTAAACTTTCCGGCTATACTCTTCTCCTCGCTGTTTGCCGCACTACTGTTTTCAGGTGTTTCAAATTCATCAGGAACTATTGATACTAATTTCTGCTAGCTGCTGTTAATTCACCGCAGCACGTGATGCGACAGTCTCAGGGGATGGCGAGTTCAAAAGTGTTGCAGGACAGGTTTCTACTGATCTCTGCTGTCACATATTGATCCACCTGTTGCACTCCATCTGTCTTGATCTCGATTAAGCGTTATGTTTGCGGGTGCGGAGAAGCAGCATGCACGAGGTGTGCTGTTGGTGAGTAGCACATTCCTGAACTGATTGATTGACCGCATCATAAATTTTTCAGCTTATTTCATAAATTTTCTGCGGATCTCTTTGAGGGCTCTCTCTCACTGAAGAATCCCAGCTGGTTAGCGACGGGGCTAAGTAGGCGTCCCCTGGTGGCAGATAGGGGCCGAAAGTCGCCAGTACTTGCCCGGAGACACAGGTGGACTCAGGGATAGACTCCCTGATTGTGCTGTGCTGGTCGATATACCTCCTGTTTCGTATCCGCGTATACGTGTGTGGAGAGCCTATGGGCGCAGTGGTGTCCTGCCCATCGACTGAGCCAAAACTTTGCTTTCAAGTGACTGGTAAGTATCTGGGAGGCGATTCGGGGTCGCCACCAAGAACAAAGCCCCTCATACACTTCAGGATAGCCCTCCAGGCCCCCGAAGTTGACCCAGCCCCCAAGTCAGAGCCTGGCAAGCTACACGTTTGGTATCCACTCGCCAAAAACAGCAGCACTAATGGGCCTCATTCCCCTTGATCTGAGGGAACCATCAATACGGCAGCGCTGGGTAAGACCGCTCGGGAGAGGCTGCTAAAATCTCAGCGCCAAAACAAGCTGCCCAAAAGGAGAAGGACTAAGATGATCTATACTTTCAACGCGCGGACGCTTGCATCGGAAGCGTGTGTAGAAGATCTTATGATACAAGCTAGGAAGACCTAGTACGACGTCATTGGACTGACCGAGACGAGAAGGCACCGCCCGCTGTATTTGAGGCTGGAGAAGAACTGTTCTTCAGAACATGCGAAAGCAGAGGCGTCGGCTGCTTAGGTGTCCTCGACAATACGCACTTGGCCATGAACATCGATTCGTCCGAAAGCTTAACAATCCAAATCGGGCGTATGCGATGGTGAAGATTTAGCCGAACCCCAGCTCTAACAACCTTCCTTGTCCACGCACCAACATCGAGCTACGAAAAAGAAGAGATGGAAGCGTCCGATGTGAGAGGCTTCAAAGAGAGGC